CCACCTTGAGATTCTTCACCATGTGAGTGGAGGCTCCCAGAGACCTAAGTCTAATCCCAGCATTCTGTGCAGTCAGTTATGTGGCACTATTGGGATGGGGTGAGGATTTCTCAAGCCTGGACCATTGGCTGATCTCGAGGGCAGGCGTGGAACGTTCTCTGAGCCTCCGGCCAGAGAAAAATCACTGTGCTTTTGTATCATTCCAGTCTCTGGGGGATGGAAAGATTTCTCTTGTGAGAACGATGACAAAGTTGTTCCCACCATACCAGTTGTCAAGAAATATTGTAAGGCAAAAGATGAATATTGATATCTATAATACATGGCCATTGGGTAGACTGCTCTGTAAGTAGTCACTCAATGAGCAAAGACTTTATGAGCACCTTATATTTGCGAGGCACTGTGCTGGGTTCTGGGAATAATTTTTTAAATGTTAAAAACATAACTTAGCTGGCGGCTGTTGACGTGCCTGTGGTCCCAGCTACTCGGACGGGTGAGGTGGGAAGATTGCTTGAGCCCAGGACTTGGAATCTAGCCTGGGCAACATAACAAGATCCTGTCTCTAAAAAAATAAAATAAAACTTTTTTTTTAAAGTATAACTTAGTTGAGAGACAGGTCATATTTTCTGAGTAACTAATTGTGTAAGATTATGCCAAATGCCTTGTAGACGACACAAACCAGAGGCCCTGGAGAAGTTTGAAAGAAACCCCAGGCTTAGGCAACGAAGGAAGAATTCACTAGAAGGAAGACTTGAGCTCAGCCTTGAATGGTGGCTAAGCACTGAGATAGAGAGTCTAGAGAGACAGATCTCAAATTCCGAGGAGGAGAAATAGCATGAGCAGAGTCAAGGTGTAGGGTATGCATCTGGCATGCTTGCAGGAAACAGGTACCAAGAAGACCCCGAGAGTTTTCAGAGGCAGGACAGGAGTGGCTGTAGCTTATGATCATTTGTCCAGCACCTTCCAGTTGATTCAGCTTGCATGCTCTTACCTTAGGAGGTATATCTTGTGACTTTTTCCCTTCCTTCCTTCCTTCCTTCCTTCCTTCCTTCCTTCCTTCCTTCCTTCCTTCTTGCTTGTCAGGATCTCACTCTGTCGCCCAGGCCAGAGCACAGTGGCATGGTCACAGCTCACCACAGCCTTGACCTCCCAGACTCAGGCTTCCTGAGTCGCTGGGACTACAAGTCCAAAGTCAACTGGGGAAAATGAATGCATGTGTAAGAGCAAGCTCCATCGTCTGGAAGTACAGAAACAGGGTGGGCCCAGGATGGCTGCTGTCAGGTCAGAAGAGGAACCTCCACCCCACGGGTGTCCGCCATGGGGGAGGTGCCTTGGGAGATTTTCTGGAGAAGACACATGAGAGCTGAGTCGTGCAGGATGGACCAGATCTGAATGGGGAAGGAAGGAAGGGCATTGTAGGCGGAAGGAACAGCATGCGTGGAGATTCGAAACTGCATGGGCCCTTGGGGACGTTTTCAGCATTTTTGAGAGGATCAGAGATGATGTCGGCAACCAGGCCTTCTGTTCCGGATCCTGGGTTCCAATCAGACAGGAATTTATCCCACTTTTCTGGAAAAAGTTGGTCCAGTCATTTCTCTTACAATACTATCTTCCCTTTGTTTTTTACCCTTCCTATATTCAGAGCAAGGTAGTAAAAAAATAAAGTTAATGGGGAATTTTTTTTTTTTTTTTTACTAAGGGTTCTCACTCTGTTGCCCAGGCCGGAGAGCAATGGCACATTCATGGTGCATTGCAGCCTTGAATTCCTGAGCTCAGGTGATCCTTCTGCCTCAGCCTTCTGAGTAGCTGGGAATACAGGTTCACGCTACCACACCTGGACAAGTTTTCACTATATTGTCCAAGCTGGTCTTGAACTTCTGGGCTCAAGTGATCCTCCCACCTCAGCCTCCCAATGTTCTGAGATTACAGGCAGGAGCCACCGCACCCAGCCCCGACTGGAGATTCTTAGAAGGAGGAAAAAGAGGCCAAGCTTCCTCAAGTGTCCACGATTCTAAGGCAGATTCAAACATCTTCCATCCCTACAACCACAGACGTGGGCTTCCTTGCGAGGGTTTTTTTTTTTTTTCTTGTGCAAAAGATGCAGGTTAAGTGAAGTCTCAAAAACAGGGCAGTGTCCTCTGGCGTGTTTTTTTCTTTCTTGGAAGCCAACATGCTTGGAAGAGCAAACATCTCTAGACAATGATGTAGACAGCTCTTACTACCCAATATCCATGGGACACAAGCCATCTTGCACACATGTGTACATCATAAACCTTGTGTCACGTAGCCTCAGCCACCTGGGGCAATGTCGTGAGGTCAGTTGGGTCTGTTCTACGTGCGTCTACTTAAGTAAGCTGATAATAGGGCTGTGTCCTCCAGGTTGATGGACTGATGGGTGAGGAGAGAAGGGGAGGAAAAAAGAATGGCTCTTCCTCATTCTTCAAAGGCTGACCTCCGCAGTGTGGCCGCCAAGGCCTTCTGGATCCAGCCTCATCCTTTCTACTCACAGGTCACTAAGATGCCAGGTCTCTCCCCGCCTCAGGGCCTTTGCACATGCTGGCTTTCTGCCTGGAAGATGGTTCTTCTTCTTCACCAAGCTAACTGCTACCCTCTCTTCAAATCTCAACACTGGGAAGTGCTTCTCGGACACCCAGACCAGATCCGCTCCTTGTATGTTCTCATAACTCGTGGTCCTTGGGTTTTGGTAATCTCGTACTTAACTGCAGAAACAGTTTTTGAGTGTCTGTCCCCTCACAAGAATATAAGCTCCAGGCAAGGTGGGATTCTGTGTATTTTGCTGGCTGCTGGATCCCCCAGTGATTTCACAGAGGAGGTGGCTGGGGAATGTTTCAGGAAAGAAAGAACAGGGGGAGGGCGGGAAAAAAAGAAATGTGGAATGACTCCGCTTGGGTGTTGTCACTTTTTAAAATGGCTCTGATAAGGTATAATTGGTGTACAGTAAACTATATAATATATTAAAGTGTGCAGGCCAGGCACAGGGGCTTACAGATGTGATCCCAGCATTTTGGGTGGCTGAGGTGAGAGGATTGCTTAAGGCCAGGAGTTCGAGACCAGCCCTGGGCAACAGAGCAAGATCCTGTGTCTACACAAATATTTTTAGAAATGAGTGGGCAGGGTGACACCCACCTGTAGTCCCGGCTACTTGGAAGGCTGAGGCAGGAGGGTTGCTTGAGCCCAGGAGTTCGAGGCTGTGGTGAGCTGTGATGATTGTACCACTGCACTCCAGCCTGGGTGATAGAGACCCTGTCATTCATACATACATACATACGTACATAAATGGTGTATAATTTGGTAGGTTTTTACATAAGTCTACACCCATGAAACCAGCACTGCAATCAAAGTGGTAGACGTATCTATCAATCCCAAAATGTTTCCTCATGTACCCCTCACCCACCCCAAGTAGTTACTGATCCCATTTCTGTCACTGCAGATTAGTCTGCATTTCCTAGAGTTTTACACAAACGGAATCACATCGTCTGTATTCTTTTTTTTAATCTGGCTTCTTTCACTCAGCATAATTTTTTTTTTTTTTTGAGTTGGAGTCTCACTCTGTCACCCAGACTGGAGTGCAGTGGCCGCTCCCGGCCACCGCAGCCTCAACCTGCTGGGCTCCGGCGATCCTTCCGCCTCAGCCTTCCAAGGAGCGGAACTAAAGGCGTGCGCTACCATGCCAGGCTGATTTTTTGATTTATTGTAGAGATGAGGTCTCACCAAGTTGCCCAGGCGGGTCTCGAACTCGCGGGCTCAGGCAATCCACTCACTTCAGCCTTCCAAAGTGCGGGATTACAGGCTGAGCCACTGAGCCCGGCAGCATAATTATTTTGAGGGTTGTCCGTGTGGCTGCGTATATCAATAGTAACTTTTCTTCCCTGCTGTATCAGATTCCACTGTATGTATAGACCATCATTTGTGTATCATCCCTCTGTTGATAAAAAATTGGGTTAACTGGGTGTGGTAGTGCGCACCGGTAGTTCCAGCTGCTTGGAAGGCTGAGGCGGAAGGATCGCCGGAGCCCAGCAGGTTGAGGCTGCGGTGGCCGGGAGCGGCCACTGCACTCCAGTCTGGGCGACAGAGTGAGACTCCAACTCAAAAAAAAAAAAAAAAAAAAAAGAAATGTCTATGGACATTTGTGTACAAGTCTTGGTGTGAACATAGGCTTTCATTTTTCTTGGATAAATACCCAGGAGTAGAATGATTGGGTCAGGGTAGGTGTAAGTTTAATTTGTCTTTTTTTGTTTTTGAGTCAGGGTCTCACTCTGTCCCCCAGGCTGGAGTGCAGTGACACCATCATGGTCTACCACAGCCTTGACTATCTGGGCTCAAGCGATCTTCCTGTCTCCATCTCCCAAGTAACTGGGACTACAGACGTGTGCCACCATACCTGGATAATTTTTTGATATTTTGTAGAGATGAGATGATATTTTGTAGAGATGATATTTTGTAGAGATGAGATGATGGTCTTGAACTGGGTTCATGGAATTCTCACACCTTGGCCTCCCAAAGTGCTGGGATTACAGGCGTGAGCCACCACCACGCCGGACCATAAGTTTAATTTTTTCCAACACTGTGTATGACTCGCTTTTTACCACAGCTGCTGACATCACGACAGTTGTGAGGATTGCTCACATGTTTCTAGGGTGTGTTTTGAGTGCTTCAGGAAAAAAAGGTAATCAGAATTGTGGGAAGAAGATTCAGGACAAGAAGGAGGATCACAACTGCCTTTTCATTTCAACGCCATCTAGGAAACAGACGCGCGGTCTGACTTCCGACCTCCTTTCTCCCCCTGCATATCACACAGTGTCATCTCCCATGTCCGCAGGTCATTCCTTTGGGTTTTCCAAATGCTGAAAACCTAATAGCGAGGCAAAAGTCCACATTGATCTATGGTCTAACACGTTCCACTCCACATACAACCTTATCCCCAAAAACCCTCTGCAAAACCCAAAGCCCTAACCGATGTGTCTCTATTTTTTTTCCCCCAGGGGACACTTAAACTGGCTCCAGCTAGATCGAAGAGTATTGGAACATGACTTCCCTAAAAAGTCAGGACCTGTGGTTTTATACTTTTGTGTCAGGTATGTGCACATGGCAGCTACACATTTGCTTCTTTTTGTTCTTTGTTGGAAGAACCTGGATGGGTAGGGTGAAGCAGAGGACAGGAAGAGCCGGTGTCTTGGTTCACTGCCAGCAGTGAAGGTCAAGGATTCACAGATGCCCACACAGGGCGTGGGTGTGTGTGGCGTGCTGGCGTGTGTGTGTGGGCACGTGTTTTTGCTCTTACACCAGGATGCATGCGTGGAATAAAGGCAAAAGCTCTCATTTGCTTTTTTTTCTTTCCTGAGGAGTTGTATATCTCAATCTAAACTTAGCCTTTTATCATAGAACGTGCCCCGGGATTCTTTTTTGGTGCCAGTTTGAAGCTGTGTAACAAAAGTCTCTGTAGTCCTTCCTTCTAACACCTGAGTCTGTTGAAACTTTCATAGTTTATTCCAGGTAGGAATGGTCGAAACCTAGCACCAAATCACGGAGCTGTGCGTTTCTGAGCAAGGGAGAATATGGCCCAATCGCCTGTCAGAAACAGTGGGTGTTTTCTGTTTATGAATCTATTCTAAGAAATTTTATTTTGTGATTGCAAAGGGAACTATATGGGGGGGGACCCCAAAACCTGGAATTTATTTATTTAAAACTGCGTGTTTATTCTTACGTGTTTAAACTTCAGTCACCTTCAAAGTACCCTCCGTTTGATGCAATACACTCACCATAACACTTTTTCCACTACTCAAAACAGTTTTTTAACTTGTCAATTTGGATGCTTTTGAGTGCTTCTGCTATTTTTTGGTTTTACTTCTTCCATGTCAGCAAAGCATTTCCCTTTTTTTTTTATAATCAATATTTTTTATTATGATGTTGTGGGGTACAGTAAAGGGTTAGGTATACAAATACGTTTCATTCAGGCACCCTGTTGATAAGAGGTGCTTCCCCATCCCCAGACAGATATTTGCTACCGTTAATCCCATCTCCCTCCCCCCCCATAGTTTCCCACTACTGTCAGTCATTTTCTTATAGTAGTACATTGGATGTTCAAGGTCCATTATATGAGTAAGAACATGTGATACTCGGATCTTTGTTTTTGCAAGAGGTCACTCAGTATTATAGACTCTGGTTCCATCCAGGTTGCTGCGAAATTCATGATTTTGTTCTTTTTTATGGCTGTGTAGTATTCCATCGTGTATATGTACCACATTTTTTTAATCCAGTCCTCTTTTGATGGGCAGCATGGTTGCTTCCAGGTTCTTGCTATTGTGAACAATGCTGCGACATCCAAGCAGCCAACAGACACATGAAGAAATGTTCAACCTCACTAATCATCAGGGAGATGCAAATCAAAACCACACTGAGATACCACCTAACTCCAGCCAGAATGGCAATTATCAACAGCTCAAAAGATAACAGCTGCTGGAGAGGGTGTGGCGAAAAGGGAACACTCCTACGCTGTTGGTGGGAGTGTAGACTAGTGCAACCTCTGTGGAAAGCAGTGTGGCGATTCCTGAAAGCCCTAAATACCGACCTCCCGTATGACCCCACAATCCTCCTACTGGGAAAATATATCCTGGAGAACTCAAATCACTCTATAAAAAAGATACCTGCACACGTATGTTTATCGCAGCGTTTCCCTTTGAAGACTTTTTTCATCTGGGGAAGCAAAACAAAGTCACTCGGGGTGAGATCAGGTGAATAGGGAAGGTGTGGCACGGGGGTCATGACGTTGTAGGTCAAAAACCGCTAGCACCCAGCGCAGTGTGGGCAGGTGTGCGTGTCAATCACCCCTCATGAAATGGGCACAACTGTGGAAAGAATCTCCAAAAAAAATTTCACTGAAGCTGAACGCAGCCTCTCACAACAGCACTCGCTGGTACACTGAGGCCGATGGGTGCCTAGAACACTTGTGTTGCAGGGAAGCCTGTACTCCACGGGGCCTGCCCTCCAAAAGAGATTTCTGGGTTTTCTGGGTATCGTGCTTCAACTAGTTAACATAGGCCTGGTCTTATGAAGAGGACAGGACCTATCGCTTCTGTTTGTAAAAGGTCATGAAACTCCAAGAGTTGGGGCAGGTTGGGGAGTCAGGGACAACGTCCTCATAGGTGACAACATACTCATTGGTGACAACATCAGAGTCCGAGCCCCCAGATACAGCACCTGTCTGAGTACCCACGCTGTGTGGCCACCAGGCACTCTCTGTCCAAAACCTTGATGGCAACCCCGCTGCAGAGGCACCGACATTTCAATGCCTAAGTCTGCCCTTGGACATTAACATTTCCCCTCAAAACACAGACCTTGACCTTTTAAAATACGCTAACAGAAATTCAGGAGCAGTCGGTTAAAAATTCAGGATAAAACAACATGCAATTCAGTTCTTCCTAAAGAGTACCGTCAGAGAGGCAGTGCCAGAGCCATCCTGATACCACAAAATAAGAGTGAAAGGGGCCGCTTCACAGGCTTGCCTGGACGCCTTTCCCTCAGCGGGCGGGGTACATTTCCACTTGCACTTAATGCGCTTTTGATTTGTTTAACAGCTGCGAACGTATCGGAGCTCATCTTAGCCATTTCCATTACTGATGAGAATGATTTCGATGCCGTATTCTCTTTAGTGGTGTCTACGGTTTCTCAGATTAATGGACAAGTAACCGTATAAAGCAGAGAGTAACAATCCCGCTGGGAGGGGCCGGTGGCATCAGGCGACACGTTGAAGCAGCTCAGCAACCTGTGATCTCAGGTGGCATGGAGGGGGCCCTCAGCAGATACCAGGCTCTCCCTTTTCCCTGCTGATTTTTGCCCACACTAACCCAGAAGAGAGAATGCTGGGCTTGGCTGCATGAGGGGTGTTTTCCCCAAATATATTAGATAACACGAATTTGAACCCATAGAATCCCACTCCACCCTCTAAGCCGGAGCGAGTCTCCTCCAATAAGCATTCCCCCCAGGATGGCCTGGCACCGCAGGACATTTCCAGAAACAGCAGGATGAAGGCTCAGATCCTGCCTTCGTTGGCTGGCTATTCACCTGAGAGGGACCTGGTCCCTGCAATACCTCACTGGACAAATCACCAGGAATGATCATGCAAGGTGGTTTCGGCGTCTTCATCATTACCCAAAGGGACACAGGCCTGAGAGATGGGAACGACCCATTATTAAGCACCATCCATGACTGAGGATAATCTTCACAGCAACCTTGAGACAGTCCTTATTCTTGAGATAAGGACACGGAAGTCCAGGCTGGTCGGGTAAATCCTACCCCCAGCAAGCCTTCTCCGTGACAGAGCCGAGATGAAATCTCACCTGTTGGGTCAGCTCCGACTCCAAGTCTCGTGCCCTTCTCCCTGAGCCGCACGGTGTCCCTCTCCACAGGTGAAGATGACACCTTCACTGCTCGCCAGAGACCTCAGCTATTCCCTGCACAGACAGGAAGCTAAGTCTAAGCTGGTGCCCCCGGCCACCTCGTATCCCACATTTTGTCACGTCTGTGGAACCAGCATGCGCCCGCAAAGAGGGTGTTCAGGACAAGTGTGCCCCAGTTCTGGTGACAGAGTTGCCACCCCCAGTTCCAACACAACCCAGCCCAGGGCTCACAGTCTCAGAGCTTGGTGGGCTGCTGCCCCAAAAGAAGAGAGGGATCAGAGGAGATGCCACAATGGACCAGGAAGAGCCATTGCAAAGGGTTTTCAGGAACTGAGACATTTGCTGCAAGTCCCACCTGAGAAAATTTTGCCATTTCCTGACCCAGGAGACGCCCATGGGAAGGTGTCTGTGCTGAACTGTGCTCCTCCCTCCCCTATTAAGAAACCTCCAAGAGGCCGGGTGCTGTGGCTCAGGCCTGAAATCCCAGCAATTTAGGAGGCTGAGGTGGGAAGATCACTTGAGCCCAGGAGTTCAAGGCCAGCCTGGGCAACATAGCAAGACTTCGTCTCTATAAAAAAAATTTGTAAAAAATCTGTTGGAGGTGGTGGTTTATGCCTATAGACCCAGTGCTTTGAGAGGCCGAGGGGAAAGGATAGCTTGGAGCCAGAAGTTCAAGACCAGCCTGGGTAATCCCATCTCTACAAAAAAAGCAAAAACTTAGTGGGGCATAAAGGCTCATGCTTGTAGTTTCAGCTATTTGGGAGGCTGAGGCGAGAGGATCACTTGAGCCCAGGAGTTCACGTCTGCAGTGATCTATGATTGGTGCCACTGCACTCCAGGCGGACTGGCAGAGTGAGATCTTGTCTCTAAAGTAGAAAATAGAAACAACGCTCCAGGGTCAACTTGCACACCATCATCACCCTGACCCACGTTACCGCCACGCTTGCGGAGCTCAGATCCCTGAAGTCCCGCTATAGAGAATGGCCAGAATGCAGTGGTGTGATCATAGCTCACTGTAGCCTTGAACTCTTAGGCTCAAGCTATCCTCCCACCTCAGCCTCCTGAGGACTATAGGCAGACGCCACCGTGCCCAGCTAATTTTGTGATATTTTTTGTAGAGACAAGGTCTCGCTCTGTTGCCCAGGCTAGACTCGAACTTCTAGGCTCAAGCAATCCTCCCTCCTCGGCCTCCCAAAGTGCTGGGATTACAGACATGAGCCACCATGGCTGGCTTCCTTTTCTCTAACTTAAGCAGCTTCTCCGTGGATTCTCCTTTCATGACCATGTCTCTCCCACTCTAAGAAAAATGTCCTCCCGTGATGTGCAGCCATCTCTGGGAAGCGCCCTTTGCTTCCCCCTCTGCTCTGCTCACAGCAAAGCCTCCCTGCAACCTCCCTCCTCAGTCTGGGCCATCTAGTTTCAGGTGCCATCATCGCCCTGTCACCAGAGCCCTCTAGCTTCCAATTCCATGGCACTCTGCCCTGTTCCAATGGGGCCGCTGTGGCTCCCCTTATGTTCCCCCTGGCTCTGTGAGTACTCTCCCGGTCCACCTCCTCTTTAACCCCTGTGTCCCTGGCTCTGCTCTCCCTGGAGCACTGGAGCCCAAGAAGTCTTGTTTGCTTATCTCCCCCACCCCAGGGTGTGGTGTCATCCCCGTCCCCCCGCCGCCCAACCCCACC